TTCCATAACGAGCCCAAGTGGACAAATGCGGTGTGGTATTGATTAATCACCAGTGTAAATCTCCCGCACGTATACAGATCGAAATGATATTGACTCAAATCTCAAGACTCTCTACTAAATCAGCGAGTTAGGGTACTGCACAATAGGTCTGTTTCTTCTCAATGTTTGTTACTGGTTATGCCGGTGTTTCGCGGATAAATCAAGTAATAAGCAATCGCCCCTCTAGTGACTCCTAGCCGAAGGAAAGAGAGAAATCAGGCATGCAAGAATACGAACGAAAAGGGTGCCCTTCTCATTCTCGCCTACGAGATGTTCGCTTTTCCCACTCTTTTCTAAGCAGCGTCCACTCAGGCTACTCACCCCCTCCCCCCTCACCCCCTCTAATTTGCTCGGTTGATCATGCCGTTGATTTTCCCCACCATTCGAGTCTCTGTTCTGTCGCACTGTCCGCCCTTATGTCGCTCAGGTAGTCGAGTAAGGTTTATTACTAGTTTTAATGCATTTTCCTTTCAGATAGTGTATCGAAAATGCCCTCGCCAAGGCCTCCACATAACACAAACGCTTTCAGCCGTCTTAGGAACAAGACACTTGACAAGGTAATATAAGTTGAGCGCCTGACTTGTCCCCAGTCTTCTCGCGTCCCGTTCTCCGCGTGTGATCCAAAGAGAGAAGACGCTCTTGGTGCGATGGGCAACCTTTAAATAATATATAAATATAAATAAAGAAATAGACATAGACGAGTCAGCTTGAACACATTGTTATTACTTCATTTATGTAATTTTTTCTAACTTTTTTTTTTAAATTTCCTTTTCAGGTGGATAATTTTGTTTGGAGAATCAACCAGGTTCCTCATGACGTAGGTTTCTATGAATTTCTTTTCTAACCTAGGCAGATGTTTGTGAAAATTTAGGAAGGCAAGAAGCTCTTGTTTGACTCTCATCTACAGTTTATTCTTGTAAATAATGATTCTTGATCACTTAATTCCTTGATTCATCTAGATTGCATGTAGTTTGAAGGAAAGACCAGTCATTGGTTTCTTATTTGATGAGGTAAGGCTATTCTTTGTCTTACAATGTGTGTCTTACTGATGTATCGTGAAATTGTGAGTACCACAATTGGTTCTTCGAATGACCTCCAGGTGCCTCTGCGGCTTTTCTTTTAGATTCCACAATCAAGGACGCAAGCCATTTTCTCTGACTGTCAGCTTCACATATGGGCAGTTGAAGGTATGAAATTGAATAACATGAAAATAAACGATACTGCAAACTTATATTATTCCGGTTGAACTATATCAGCTAGGGGGAGGGTAGACACCGACTGATTGAATTGAAGTTTAAAAGTTCATCATCTGCGCTTGAGATCAAAGACATTGTTCGAAGGTCTTACCAAAGGTCCCGGTAATTTCCGAAGATCTCCGAGGGTGGTCCAAAGATGTTTCAGTTACAGATCAACAGCTTTTGGGTGTTTACCATTTACCACAAAGTCTCGGAAATTTTGGTTGGGATGTAAATGGTAAACGTTTCTTTGGTTCGTCCCACTGGAAAATTCCCCGGACAAACGGAAATTCTGAAAAGGTAGTCCCTTTTTCCCGATTGGGACGTGGACGTTCCGAATGGAAATTCGTCGACCATTTACAAGTTTCTTGAGTTTCGTACTAGTTTCATGTTGTAACTAGAATCCAGTCTAGCGTGGCCCGACAATCCCGAAATTTTAGGCAAATGGTAAACGACACGTACCGTTCTTGCCGAACGAAAATTAACAACCACAATTTCCGGGTTTTTTTTAAAATGGTAAACAACCTTTAACTCATCCTAGTGACTAGGATTGCGTCAGTTTAGTGATGTAAGCTTTTGCCAGTGTCCGTTTTTCTTGTTTTGTAGCTCTCTCGAGACTCGTAGCATCTTCGTATACAGAGGACACATTTGGTGTTGTACAGAAGGTAACTTTGTTTTTCTATCCAATTTTAATAACGGCCAGGTTTTGCATTCTTGCAATTCCATTTTCCAATTATTAAAAAACTAATCAAAAAAACAAAAGAAATTACTGCTCAGTAGCTTCTCGTTTGATTGGGCAGACTTGCAGATTTCTCGTAGACTCGAGTGTTCTAATACGAAATTTGTTGAGTAATAGCTAAACTGTTTCACCTTCTTTTCAGTTGCGTTTATTGGAGAAGTTAACAAATTGATTGAGCTTGGGGTATTTTTAACCCTGAGGTTCTTGCTATTTCAGAGTCTCCCAGATGTCTTTGTTTCTCTTGTGAGTTTACTTCAGGTGGGAAATGCTCGAAAACATTTGTAAAATTCTTTTTGTTTTCTTATCTTTTGCCAGTTTTGCCAGAAAATGGCCCTTACCTGTCTTGTTTTCTATATATTATATATACAGGCATTAGACAAGCATTCAAAGCTTTCATTGGCTTTGACGTCAAAACCGGCAATTCAGGCCAGACCTCCTAGACCACAGGGAAGAGACGGCCTTCGCTACCAGTTGAGAGCAAGTAAGT